ACATGCGCGGCGCTTGGCACCCGGATCCAGGAGTACGGGCTGCTCCAGCGGCGCCTGGAGAACATGGAGAACCTGCTGAAGAACAGGAACTTCTGGATCCTGCGGCTGCCACCGGGCAGGAAGGGTGAAGTCCCCAAGGTAACGGTGTCCTGGGGTGCCAAGGAGCCAACATCTGCACCCCAAATGCTCACAGAGGGTGGGACAGGGGGGAGATGAGGTGGGTGAGCCCCTCACCGTCCAGATCTGGAGAGAGCTGAGCTGCCCCTCGCAGCGTCTCCCCCACCAGGACCCACATGTGGTGGGAGATGGATCCGAGGGGAACATCCCACCATACCCAGGCTGGAGGTTTCTGTTCTGTTTTACCCTGCTGTGCAGCCCCACAGAGATTCACCCTTTTTAAAAATAATACTAATTAATTTTTATTTTTTGCTTTAGAAACCCTGCAGATTTGGTGGTTGGTTTTTTTTTGGCCACCATTTCTTTGACCGCCTTGGCGCTGTGGTGGGGGGTCTCTCAGGTTGGGGAAAGGAGCGAGTGGGGGCTGCTGCTGCTGCAGGAAAGGGGAATTTCTGGGATTCAGGGGAAGGTGGATGAGCTCTCTGCACTCACATTTGGGCTTCACCAAACATCAGGAGCCCACCAACAATATTCGCTTCCTCCTTGGCATTGCACAACCCTCTCACTAAATGAGTTTGCAGATAGGACTGTGTGGGACACGGCAAAGTGAGCGTCACTGGAGAGAGCGGGTCTGGAAAAGGGGGGTTCCCACCCCAACACCCCCTTAGCACAATCAGGAGCTGATTTTCCCTCTGAAGAGCTCCCTTGAACACGGCACAGCTCTGGCGCATCCTGAATTTATCCTGAGAAACTGTTACTCGGCAAACAGGCTTGAAAGCTGCCGTCTGCTCCCGGCCGCTTTGCACACAATAACTAACGATAACTGGGAGCCCTCCAGGCCCCGGGGAGAGTTTTTCCCTCGAGTTCTGGGGTAATTGAATCTGGGTTTTTATGTCAGCTCATCAATAGAGATGAGATCCAGCCCTAGAGCCCGATTTTTATCTCCTTTATGCTCCCTCCAGGTGGGTGCAAACCCGGTCACCTCTGCAGAGTCATCCCTGCTGATGTGGGGACTGAGAGGAGGGAGGTCGGTGTGGTTTGGGGAAATCAGTTTGGGTTCATCACCAGGGATGGGCTGTTTGGTTGAGACCTTTAATCTCGTAGAAATACGTCTCCAGGAGTTGCTTTAAATATAAAAACCAACTTGTTGATGGCTGTGAAGTAGCAGAAGTGTGGTCATGGGTCCTGGTGTGGGAACAAGCTGCCACTGCCAGCGAGCGGTGATATCCTGCTGGGCTCCTGGGGAGCGAGGTGGCCACCGGAACCTGTGCTGCTTGTGGTTGCAGGTGCCGGTGACGTTTGATGACGTGTCCGTCTATTTCAATGACAAGGAATGGGAGAAGCTGGAGGAGTGGCAGAAGGAGCTGTACAAGAATGTGATGAAGGGGAACTATGAGTCGCTCATCTCCCTGGGTAAATATGAGGTGTCCTCACCGTGGTGAAAGGCAGGTTCTCTGGGTGCCTGCAGGCTTGGGCATCTTCTGAGTCCTCCTTGGAGATCCCCTTGAGATCCAAATGTCCCATTTGAAATGGAGACTTAAAAACACAGTGGGGTGTTTCTAGTCTGGGTAAGGGCGTCCCTCTGGCAATGCCTGGGTTTGTTCCCAGCTTGGGTGGGTGCCACCGCAGGCAGGTGGGCTGGAGACCTCCCAAGGTCCCTTCCAACCAGAGTTACTTGGTGAAACACCAGCACCTTCCTCGTGGCCATTGGAAGGGCTTCCCTTCATCTTCTGGATCTGTGGTGGGCTCCAGCCCACACATCCCTTTAGAGGGAACTTTTGCAGAGGGAAAAGTTGTCTGATGTGGTCTTTGCTCTGCTCCTTTGGGCCATTTCCTACTGAAGCTGCAGGAGAAATCCCAGCTCTGCTGGGGCCAGAGGTGAAATGCTTTTGGCTTCAGGAGGGCCAGGAATTTGCCTGAGAAGTTCTAAAACCCTGCCAGAAAAATGTATGGGTTGGGTTTCTCCTCAAAGGTAGTTCCTCTGTGTGTGGCACCTCAGCTCCTGCCTCCGTTCATCCCTCCTGTGCATCCGGGGAGCCCAGCCGGCCTGCAGCACCAGGGCTTTTCTGCCTGCAGACCCTTTGTGGATATTCCTGAGTGTCTTCACGTGTCCTCCTGGGCGCTGGTGAGAGGTGGAAGCTGCTATTAGAATTCCCTGTGCAATAATCCCTCCATCCTTTTATCTCTCAACAGACTATGCAATTTCCAAACCTGGTGTTTTGTCTCAGATTGAGCAAGGAGAGGAATCACGGGTCAGGAATGAGCAGGACTTGGAGGAGAGCGAGATCATTACCGATGCCACCGCAGGTGAGACGGCAGCTTAGCATGAGGGGAACCATAGGTTGTGTTCAGAGGAGCTGCTCATCCCAAAGCTGAAGTGGGTGTTGCTGAGAGCTCTGCCCGAGGAGGTGATCAGGAGGAGACTCGCAGAGATGAGAGATTTGATGTCCAGCTACAGCTCAACGTAGAAACCAGGACAAGTGGAGCCTGGAGAGTTGGGCACTAGGAGCTGTCAGGAAGGGAAACATCTGCATCCAGATCAGGTCCTCAGGGAGCTGATGTGACGGGCAAGGAAGGAGAATCTGGTCCCATTGGGAAACACCATCCACCTAAAATCTCCTCTCCACCCTCCCTGGTTGTGTGGATGGTGCCTGGGTTTATCCTTGGAGCATCCCCCCCAGGGAAGGGAAGCCTGGTCCCATCCTGCACACAGGGACACGGGGTGCTGAGGGGTTTCTCCAAGGGCAGGGCTGGGATGGGAGCGGGGCACTATGGACCCTGCGTTTTGGGGTGACTCCTGCTCTGTGAGAAGTGGGGCTGATAAGGAGATAAGGATTTCTCCTAGAAGAGATGGTGTCAGCTCTGCTGCTGGTCTCCAGCCCTGGGCTGTGGACATGGGGTTGCTCAAACTCCCTGCCCGTGCTCTTGCTCATGAGGATGTTGGATGTTGAATAGTCCAAGGATGTTGGTCTGTTCAACCAAGGAACAAGGGACAGGACAAGAGGAAATGGGCTCCAGTTGTGGCCAGGGCAGTTGAGATGGGATGTGAGGAAGAATTTCTTTGCTGAAAGGGGTCTGAGGCATTGGAAGGGGTTGCCCAGGGCAGTGGTGGAGTCCCCATCCCTGGAGGGATTGAAGAGTCGTGTAGACACAGTGCTGAGGGACATGGGTTAGTCACAGGGGACTGGTCAGTGTTGGGTTCATGGTTGGACTCCATGATCTCAAAGGGCTTTTCCAACCCAGGAAATTCTGGAAATCTGTGAAGTTAAATTGAGGCCCAACAGGAAGAGAAAAATCATCTGCTGCCCTCAGGGAGCTGCTGGCCCAGCGCTGCGGCCGGTTACTGGG